TTGATTTTTGAATATTCTCAATAAACACATTTACCTCTGAATGTATTAGTACCTGATTTTAGCCATAAAAATATTAAAAAATAAAGAAAATGGTCTCCACACCATCCCTGTTTTTCCCAGTGTTGTAGTATTTCCTGGTCTTGGATTTATATATGTTCCTTATTTTTTTAGTGTATTCCTTCATTTTTCTAACATAAATTCTTTAAATTTAAAAAGATGTATTTCTAGATTAATATGATATTCTCCTCTAAAATAGCTGCATTTTCTTCTTGATCCCATTTGTTAACAGGAATCATTTAGAATGTTTTTATGTACTAACATGGTCAAGGTCAGGATAGGAAATCAACACAAGAAGTTTTTACATTAGCAAACAAAAATGTAAGAAGACATTCATTTCCATGAATGATTTAAAAACGGAGAATGAACATAATGATTATATTTATTATATTGGATGCAGTAATTTCTAAATAAATATTTTAAAATGAATGAAGTACCAGCTAATATCTGGTAAATTAAAAAAGTGTAAAGAATAGTGATACCCACCAAGAATGAGAATGTGGTGAAGAATCTTAGTGATAGTAGTGTGTCTTTTGCTTGATTGCTTTTTTTTTTAACCAAATGAATAGCTTTCTTGTCTTTTCTAACTAGAAAAATAAGTAGTCACTTAGAAAATTCAAACAAGGCAGACAAATAAAAATGACCCCAAATCTCTCCATCCAGAGGAAACAACTAATGACACTTTGGTGTATATCTTTTTAAACAACTTTCTACAAAAATAAACACAATGTTAAATTGCTACAAAAATATCACACGTGCTGTTCTGCAACCTGAACACAGATGTATCATGTTTAATTTAACCAACCATGTAAGTGATGGACTCTTAGCTTTAATATACACATCCTTAAATATACATCCATTCACAGTTGATAAAGTACATCCTGGAAGAAACTGTTATGAGTAGAACGTTTAACAAAGAGTACATAGATTTTAAATTTTAAACCATATGGCCAAAATACATTTCAGGAATATAGAAATTTACATTCTTAGTAATGGCACCCAGTGACTTCTCACAGCCTTTCCAATGTTTGATACAAAATTTTTTAAAATTTTGCTATTGACATTTCCCAGTTGTCAATTGCCTACTGACCCCTTACTAACTTTTTAATAGGGATGTTTATTTCTTCCTATATTTTAGAGCTAATTGTATATTGGGGATATTAAGTCATTGTTATGTATGTTGAAAACATATGCCTAGCTTATCATTGCTTTTCAACTTTGTTTCAAGTATTAGAAATTTTTTGCCACAGGTATATTTTAACATTTGAAGTAGTTCCCAGTACTTTCTGGATATAATGGCATACTTAAAAAGACTTCCCCCACCATATTTAAAAAGAAAATAGGGAGAGAATAAAGAAAAGAGGGTGTATGGTTAAGCATTTTGCAATTTATGAAGGTAGGAAAAACAGCAACTCAATGTATACCCTAATTAAATCACAAACAAACAACAACAAAAGAAAAAAATCAAAAGTCTATCTGGTTAAGGAGGATTGAGTAATACATTTTTAAACTTATCTATTCTGGGGTGGGATGCAATCAATACATGGAGAAATGCTTTCACTAATTCAAAAAATATTAAGTATTAGATACTGTGCTGGGCTTTGATGCAGAGAGGAAAAAAAGAGAGAATGAACCCAAAAATAAAGTGAAATTGCCCTGCTCACAAAGAGCGCACAGACTGTAATATTCATGTTTGTACAAGGAGCTGAGGAAGACTAGGATCTCCTTCCTTCTTCATCCTATCTCATCCTACTTCAAAACCATAAGAAAAATAATTGGTAAATGCTAATAATCCCAATTTCTTGAAAAAAATATTTCTTGTGACTTTAAGAAAACATATTGTTTCAGAGAGCCCCAAACTCCCTTCTGCATCTGCATTCACGGCTGCCACCCTGTGAGGAGACGTTGATGCCTTAGAGACACTGACTGGGCTATAATAACAACCTGTAACCATGTTTTATGCCAAGAAAATGTTTTCAAAACATCTGCACTATTTAACCAGCCAAGATGTTTCATGAAAAATATCTGTGAATGCCTCCATCAGGAGGTACTCATTCATATGAAGTAGTGGTTAAAAATATTTGAAAACATTTAATCATCTTAACTCTGTGTGTGTTTTTTGAATGTGTGTGCACAAATGTGCATATGCTCATGTGTAACACTGGAATTTTATAAACAACTAGAGACCTGGTGCACAAAATTTGTGCACTCGGGGGGTGGGGAGGGTCCCTCAACCTGGCCTGTGCCCTCTCGCAGTCTGGAGGTGGGAGAGGCTCCCGCCAACGCCGCTGCACTTGCCAGCTGTGAGCCTGGCTCAGGGCTTCTGGCTGAGTGGCACTACCCCTGGTGGTCAGTGCTCATCATAGCGACCGGTCATTCTGCATATTAGCCTTTTATTATATAGGACAAGTAAGCTTCTTTGGGAATAAAAACTATACACAATGCTTTTTATTGAATTTACTAGAGGCCCGGTGCACGATAATTATAATTCAATTTAATACACATACTGTAATTGATTTTATAAAGGAGAATGGAAGACATTAAAGATAAGAGCTAGTATGCTGTGTCCAACCAGTCACTATGACGTGCACTGACCACCAGGGGACAGATGCTCAATACAGGAGCTGCTGAGCTACAGTGACTTGGCAGCAGCAGTTCTTGGGTGACACACCCTGAAACCAGAGAGGAGGGAGCCCTATTCCTTGCAGGGCTGCATGATTCCTCCTTCAGCCCTGGGTTATGTTGTTGCTGGGGCACTGTCGGCCCCGAATCTGGCTTACTGCACACTTGCATTTGCGTTCCACACCCTGTACGAGAGCAACTTTGCAGAGTGCCCTCTCGCACTCTGGGACCCCTCAGGGGGTGTCGGAGAGTCAGTTTTGGCCCAATCCCTGCAGGCCAGGCCAAGGGACCCCACCTACCACAGGGACCCCGCTCACTCCGCAGATGCCAGAAAGGGACTGTGGGAGGTTGACTCCAAGGCGTGTCCAGCCCGTCTCGCCCAGTCCCGCCCGCCAGCCACCTTCTAATTAATTTCCTTTCAATGTGCATGAATCCGTGCACCAGGTCACTACTTTATAATCAGAGAAATATTAATACTCTCTTATTGGTTTAATAGGATTTTAGAAATTATTTAAACTTTATCATTCAGTCTTAACAAAGCATCAATATTTTCATTTTACGTAATGAAAAAACGTGACTCCATGTGTTTAGGTGATTAAGCTCCTCAGTTAGTAAGTATCTATAATAATAAAAGCGTAATATGCTCATTAGACCGGACGTCTTTCTGGACGTCCTTCTAGACAAAGCCAGGGCTGCGAGGGAAACCTGGGTCCCGGGTGCCAGAGGGAAGCGGGTGCCGGCAGCCGGGGGAAGGAAGGCCTACTCTTGCATGAATTTCATGCATCAGGCCTCTAGTCAAAGATAAAGCAAAACCCAAAGTCATTGCTTTTTCCACCATACTACAGCTGCCCCAATGCTAACAGCATTAGTGAGTTAGTTCCCAATTATCTATGCATGAATCTAATGAGAATTTAGCCACTTACCATGGGCCTTTCTTGGGAAACTTTTTATCACACTTGCCTGGGCACAATGTGGTAGGAGCAACATGGGCTTTGGAGTCAACTTCAACCCTGGGCTTGAATTCTCGCTTTGCTACATATTAGCTGTGCATATATGGATGTAAACTCTGCCTCGTCTTCACCTAGGAACATTGGCAGTGATGATACTTACAATGGAATTTGTTTGTGATATCTCTGGCACATAGTAGGTGCTCAATCACCCACAGCGACATTACCTGGTCTCTCCTAGGATGGCATCAAGAGATACAAAATGGTCCTGGCCAGTGTGTGTCAGTGGTTAGAGCATTAGTCTGTGCACTGGAGGGTCACAGGTTCAATACCCGGTCAAGGGCACGTACCTGAATTATAGGTTCCATTTGCAGGTTCCATCTCCAGCATGGGTGAGGGAGGCTACCAATGGATATGTCTCTCTCACATAGATGTTTCTCTCTCTCCTCTCCCTCTCTTTCCCTCTCCTACCCTCTCCCCCACCAAAACAAACAAAAACCCATCCTCATTTGTCGGATGATGATTAAAAGAAAAGAGAGAGAGAGTTATAAAATGATTTTGGGAATATTGGGTTATGGGTAATGGAGCCCTGGCAAGATCCAATAGGAGTCTTATTTAAGTGGTGTTAAACACCTGCAAAGAATTGGTATTCGGCCATATAGTCATTTCTTTAACTCAGTGGTTGGCAAACCGCGGCACGCGAGCCTCATGCGGCTCTTTGGCCCCTTGAGTGTGGCTCTTCCACAAAATACCACGTGCGGGCGCGCACGTGCAGTGCAATTGGAACTTCTTGGCCCATGCGCAGAAGTCGGTTTTGGGCCTGGGTGAGTTTATTTTGAAGAAGTGGCATTAGAAGAAGTGGGGGGTGTCGGTCAGTCGGGCTAAGGGAGACACGGCGCAGGCGGGCAGCGGGATACGCAGCGCGGGGAAGGCGCGTGGGATTCATGCACGAGTTGAGTGAGACTGGCTACAAGATGAGTGAGGATGGGAGAGTTGGAAGGGGTCTACCTCAGCGAATATACCTCAATCAGATTGAGGACGTTTTTAGGAAAGACCAGCTTAGGAGTACCCTAATTAAGTTAATAACAATGTACCTACCTATATGGTTTAAGTTTAAAAAATTTGGCTCTCAAAAGAAATTTCAATCGTTGTACTGTTGATATTTGGCTCTGTTGACTAATGAGTTTGCCGACCACTGTTTTAACTCATATCCTCATATTCCCATATGTCCCAGGAGAAATTGTATTAAGAAAAAAGAAATGAGGCGCCTAGAGAACATGAGAAAATGTAGGAATGCATTTAGGCATTGGTGAGCCTTTTTACAATGCTCAAAATGGATTTTCCTAATCCTTTTTTTTTCCCCACCCTTTATAGCTGATGGCGTCTGTGTCTTTAAATGCCTACTCAACCGAGACACCGAATGTTGCCGGGTGGGGAAGGAATCCGTCTTGATTACCCTGGGGTACAACAGTGCTCTGCTGAAGTTTGAGTCTTACGCTGGTAAGTGTTGTGCTTGTCATGACCCCCTGTCTTTTCTGAAAATGAATCCCCTGATTGGTTGACGTTTTGCTGTTACTGATTGGTTGGATTTCAGCAGAATGTTTCCTAGTGTGGGTTGTTCTAGATTAAAACAATGATATAAAACTGGTTCTGGTGCTTACCTGATACCCAGGCTGGAGCACTATCAGCCTTTTCCTAGACCATGAGAACGTTTCTGTTCTCCCCACTTGGGGTTCTCCTTCATCCAGAGCTGATTTTCCTTGAAGAAGAGGCTGTTTGCAGAAATGTGACTTCCCGCTTCTTTGCCAATCAGAATGTTTTCATCCTATTTTTGTCTTTGGATCATTTGTCGAACATTTTTAGATTCTGGACAACAAATGTCAGGGAATGGGGAGGTAAACTAAAGTGTAACTAGAGCTATTTTAAGAAAGGGCTAAAAGGCACCCTGGGAGATTTCCAGTCCGATAAAGGTAATTAGGGTTAACAATGCCATGCGTCTACCTTTGATGGTCTGTCGTCATTTCTTTAACTTAGATATAAAGTGTTCATTTCATGGTGTTAATCCAGACGATACAAAGTATTAGCAGTGGTACAGATTCTCCTCTGGGTAGTTAAAATGTCCAAAGTTGTTTCATATTATGGTAACTACTTGGGATAAAGAAGTTAACCTGGTTTGTAGTTTCTGAACTGACTCAGAGTCAGCCAGAGAGAGGAAGCTGTTTTATCATATACCTATTCATCTCTTCATCATCCCTGGTGAGACACATTTCGTTTTAAGAAAGAAATAGCCAGTGAAAGAACAGGGAGCGATTGTACAGTACGAAGACTGAAGGGAAAACCTTTCTTCTAATGTGTTCACACTTGGAACACTCAGTGCTCGAGGAAGTCATGCTGCTCAACTCCACATAGAATGTGCATGTCCGCAATGTCCATGTTTCAAGCATAGGGTACTGTTCAGAGTTGGTATGTAGAGTCTAAACAGGGTTAGGAGTTTTATTTTTTAGGGGCTCTCAACTTGAACTGCCTTCACTGTCTGGACAAAAACTTTTCTTTAAATCTTTCTTTAAATTGCAGTGAGATAGAACTTTTGAGATTCCAGTAGACTAAGTCCAAAGATATTGGGATCCATTTTACTGTGCTGCTTCCAGCCTAGATAGTCGTGAGGCCCAGAACCAACTCAGTATTGGGGGCCAATGACAGGAGCCTATTGGTCCTACACAAAGGCCCCTGTAAGTAATATCTGATGCCTTAGCTGACAAGGAGAGAGAGTGAACGGAACCTTTTCGTTTCATTCCTTGATACAGAGATTTTGGACTTAGTAATGAAATTTGTATTCCATGTGCTTTTGCCTAACTTAGAATACAAATGACTAAGTTTCTACGTAATTTGTTTATACCAATCAAAAAAGCAAGAAGGGAACTTTTAAATAGGGAGCTCCTAGGTGGGACTAATTTTGAGATCATGAATTCATTATTGGTTCAGCGTGTAACCTGTGTTTCAGAAATGAGCACAGAGACCTTGGCCTACCTTGCTTTAGGACACTGGCTGTAACTGATTAGTCTCCTTTGTTCTTTAAGAAGGAAAGATAATCGATACCAAGAATTTGAGACTCTACTTGAGAATTTTCCCAACGGTACCTTATACCACCTTCCTATTCTGGAGTTTGTGTGTGTCTTGATTTTGCTAGGATTGAATCGCAGCACCATATGGATTCCAAGTACAGATGTTTGCAAATTAATGGTCCTCCTTAGTTTAATTTAATAATAGTTTTCCAAAGCAACTAATGTCCCTGGGGAGTCGGTTGCCTGTCTGATTTTCCTGGCCCTAGAGACTGAACAAGCCAAGCAGCTGGTCCCGCATTCTGGATCTGTCAAGGCAGGTTGTGGTGCGAGGGACCGGAGTCCACAGCTGCAGGCTGGTAGTGTGGCAACTGAGGAGCAAGCTGGCTGTGACTCAGTGGGTCCCCAAGGGCCCAGGTCCCAGGTGGCAGTGGGATCCTGTCATTTGTCAGCTTGGGTGTTGACAGAAAGCTGTGTACATCAGACACAATTGCTACATTTTTGAGATGTGCTCTGCTTTTCTGGAGTAAGACCATGTGGCATTTGAAATGTGAGCCTGCGATTTTACATTTAGAAGTGAACAGCTGCCAATTTTCTAGAGCTTGGGTAAGAAAGAAAATTCAACTTTATTGGGAAGTTGATCAGTAGTGATAATTAGGCACTACTAGGGAAGGAATGATCAAATACCCAAATATATCTCTAAGCAGTATTTCTTTCCTTCCTCCTTTCCTTCTTCAGAATTGTGACTCAGTGCTCTCCAAGCCTGATTTGGTCACGTGTCAAATACTCGCCAGTGTTCTCCAAGACCACTGTGAAATCTGGCCATTAAATCTCACTGTATTTTAGAAGCAGTGGGAATATTTAATGATGACAGATGTCAACAGAGAAAAAAGTTTTAATTAAATGGACTTAATATCTATGACAAACTGACTATGAATGTACTAGATATGTGCAGGGTTTCCTTCCTGTTCATTCATTCATTCAACAAATATATATTGAGAGCCTATTATGTGCCAAGCACTTAGTTATGTGCTAAAGATACAGCACTGAGTAGATAGAAATCCTTACAAATATGTAGCTAATATTTTATGAGGACACAGACAATAAATGAACATACTGGTAGATAGTGAAAATAAACCAGGGAAAGAGACAGAGAATGACTGGGGATTAAGTGTGTATACTGTTCATAGGTACTTTCTGAGGGAAAGCCTCACTGATTAGCTGCCATTGGAGCTGTAGTGGACGAGGGAAGGAGCAGAGCCCTGTGTGTGTCAGAGTAAGGGTGGTCCAGACAGAGGAACAGAACTACAAAGACCCTAAGGCAGGTTGTACTTGAAGAATGGCACTGAGAGCAGAGGGCCCAGGTGGAATGAGGGAGGAGAACGATCAGGGGAGACGTTGGAGACCATGGTGAGCATCTTGGTTTTCCTCTGAGGAGGACTGGAAGCATCTGAGGGCTTGCAGCAGAGGCCCAGCATTGTCTGAGTCTTACTTAATTTTTAGATTCTTTTTAGAGGTAGGTATTTATACCTTCTCTCTTATTCTCACAGCAGAATTATTGTTGTTGTTTATTCCCATTTTTAAGCAAAGCCATTAAGGCTCATAGGTTCGAAGGAAATTGCCCACGTGACAAAAAGAAAATGTAAGGCCCATGTTCTTTCAACAGCTTCCCAACTTCCCCTCCACTCTTCACTGGTTGACATTTCATCGCGAAAACTCACATTTTGAATTGGGGTAACACAGCCATGGAAAGCCAACTTTTATCAGCATTTCACTAATGGAGAAAAAGAAATAAAGATACTGGTGGTCCTTATTTTGGAAGTTTATGAATCAAGAGAAATTTCTTTATCCTTTTTTATTTTGAAAAAAATTTCCAACTTAAAAGTTTCTTAAACAATACTGAGAATTTCTGGATATCCTTTAAACAGATTCATTAATTTACAATAGTTTGTCACACTTGATTTATCTATGTGTATATGTGTGTACATATGTAAATACATATTATCATTTTATTTCTGAAACCATTTGAGAGTAATTTGCATGTCATACTCCTTTACTCCTTAGTACTTCACAGGAATGCCCCATCTTGTATAATAAAAGCCTAATATGCTAAGTGTCCAGTTGTCTGGTCACCCTTTCAACCAATCAAAGTGTAATATGCTAATGATATGCTAAGGCTACTCAACCGCTCACTATGACATGCACTGACCACCAGGGAGCAGATGCTCCGACCAGTAGGTTAGCTTGCTGCTGGGGTCCGGCCTATCGGGAGTGAGCGAGATGGGCCAGATATGCCCTGGAGCCCTCCCACAGTCCCTCCTCGGCCCCAATTGTACACCAGTGGGGTTCCTCGGCCTGGCCTGTGCCCTTTCACAATCTGGGACCCCTTGGGGGATTTCAGAGAGCTGGTTTCAGCCTGATCCTGCAGGCCAGGCCAAGGGACCCCACTGGTGCACAAATTCGTGCACCAGGCCTCTAGTAAACAAGAATATTCTCTTTTGTAACCACAGTAGAATTACCAAACTCAGGAATTTAGCATCTCTATGTATTTATATTTAATTTACAGTTCATAGTCCAGTTTCATAAATTATCCCAATAATGTCTTTTATAGCACTTTTCTCTCGCTAGTACTACATCTGGCCTAGGATCATGTATTGTACTTAGTTGTCATGTCTCTTTAGACTCTTTAATTTGGTTGAGTTCTTCACCCCTTTTTCTTTTTTTTTTTTTTTATTTTTTTTTTTTATTTTTTTTAGACGCTCTATCCACTGAGCCAAACCGGTTTCGGCATCACCCCTTTTTCTTAATGACATTAAGATATTTGGAGAAGAGGGATCAGTTATTTTTATAGAATATCCTCTAATTGGGGTTTTTCTAATATTTCCTTGTGAAAAGATTCAGGTTATGCATCCCCAGTCAGAAAACTACCTATCTGATATTGTGTCCTTCTCAGAATATCACCTCAGCAAGCACTGAGGTCTACCTACCCCTTGTTGGTAGTATGAGTTTTAATCACCAGGTCAAGGCATTTTCTATTTTCTATATACAGTTACTGTGCTTTCCCTGATAGATGTAAGTAGTAAGGAGTCTGGGCCAAGGCACTTTGGTATCATGCAAATATCCTGTTCCTCATCAAATAGCCCAAATTTAGTATATATTTATTATCCATTGCTTTGGATGTGAAGTTGAGGTTTTTTTTTGATATGTTAACCTTGTATCCTGCAGTAATCTTGCTAAGTCACTTAATTCTTGTAGGTTGTTTTTTTTTTTATAGATTCCCTAGGATTTTCTACATAAATGATTGCATCATCTGTGATTAGAGATAGTTTTGCATTTCCCTTTCCTAGCTGTATTTGTTGTTTGTTTGTGTGTGTGTGTGTGTGTGTGTGTGTGTGTGTGTTTTGTTGTTGTTTTTTGTTTGTTGCACCAGCTAGGCCTTCT